CAATTTTCTAATCACATTTACATATCAGTTACTTATTGACACAACACCCCCCCCCCCCTTATCTTAGACTCTGTCCTTTGAGTCAGTGTTATTTCTCTCCACGAATTCCTTAAATCTGGGCATGTGGGCCAAAATTTTTTTGCCTTTGTTTGTTTTGTTTATTTTTCTATTGGTCATATTCTGTATGTGTTTCTGTTATCCAATTCATAATCTCGTATGAACCTAATATTTTGAAGGAATTTTTCCCATTTGCTCAGTTTCCTTCAAGAAGATTCCAACATCAAACCAACAAAATTTTGACGATTCTTTTTATCAATGTGAAATATTTTCATGGCCAATCTTCATAATTCTACTAGCCTTGTCTTTGAGTCATTCCTTTTCTAGTATGCAGTACATTACATACTATCATACTTTTTTATTGATTTGTCCACTATCAGTAGACCTATCTCAAGAGATATTCATGGTTCTCTTTCGAAAGCCATTTTATGAGGTGTAATTTTGCTGATGATTGAAATCATGTATTATATGTAAAATTTTATTTCATGAACCTAGTCCATTCAGCGTGGACGTCTGCAAGATATGATTTATATATTTTTTATTATTGCATATTAATTTTTTTGTGCAACCCATTAATTTTTTTTTTGTGTGTTACTGAACATTACAAGTTTTTCCACACAATAGGGTCAAGTCTCTGAACATGCCTGAGTTGACTGCTTTCCTTTGATCTGATATTTTACAATTAGGGGTGAGCTGAAAATGTATAGCAAGTTTTCAATGAGTGCATTATAAGTGGTATCTCTCTGCTTTAGTGTCCTTAACGAAATCACTATAGCATATTTTCTGAAACGATCCACAATTGTGAAACTTTTCATACCCTTCCAGCGGATTTCTTAAAGGGCCCTTAAAGACTACACCTATATATTCCCACATGTTCGTTGTGAGTAGTATTGGTTCAGGCATTGCCACAGGATTGAACTTTGGCATTTTGAACGCTTTGCATGTTTTGCAAGACTATATTTCTACATGTTTTGGGACCTTTAATAAAGCCATTTTGTAATACAGGTAAATAATCTTAGCCAGCCCCATGTGACCACCTGTGGTATGTTATGTGTTAGTTGAATTATCTTCATAATGTTTTTTGGGAGCAAAAACTAACCATTGGCTCAATGTGATACGATTTTTTTTTTAATACAAAACATCATTAATCATTTTAAATTCATTTCTAACGCGTTACTCAAAAATATATTTACCTCACCATAAAACTGGTCATTATTTTGAGTGTTTTAGCTGATGTACAATGTCTGCACAGCTAAACTATTGAAAATTAGTTCGCCTTCATGTCACTTAGGTAGAATGAGTGTGAGACTCATCGAAAGCAACATTTTCTTGCCAATTCTGTGTAAGATCAGAAATTATATTGGATTAGTTTCAGGCCCCATCTCGTAAGTCTCAAAAATGGATAATGGACTTCCGATAGCCAAGTTAACGTATTATGGTCAGTCACCACATTAAACCTACCAAAAATTTAGTCATAGTTTTTATAACACCTGACTATCGCCAAACTTTCCAATTCTGAAATGCCATATTGATGAGACAAAGGCGGGATGTAGGTTCCAGATTGTTTATATAAGGAGTGATTAATCTTGGTGGGCCACGGCCACTAGGGGTCGATTCAATGGGGTCATAGGGTCTTGGGTTCCATTGGGCCAGTTGCAGGGGGTGTTACTGCTGTAGCACACACAACATGTTATATAATTTTCTGTCAAGGTATATACTGATTGAGGGGCAAAATATAACTGGCTCGTTATCTCTAACACTGCCACGAAATTGGTCAACAGTAAAATACAATTATATCTGTCATCCTGTGGTGCCGTTTCTGATATACAGTAGTCTCCCATGAAAGACCCAGCCTCTCAAGGAGACAGTCTCTCATCAGAGACTCGGTCATGTAAGTTAGTGATATAAGTTACTAGGCGAATGACCCGGCTTCGCCCGAGAAATCCCTTGGGTGCAATTTCCTTCATACTAAAAGTATATCAATAATAAATATTAGAAGTGCCATAGAATAGCAATACAGAAGTAACACATAAACTACAGGAAAAAAGTGTGTGTGATGGCATAAATTGTATTATATTAGTGTTTAGGTATTTGATTTAATTAATATAGTTGATATAATAATATATTTATATTATATATAATATAATGAGTTTTAAAAATTGTAAAAAAAAAATGCATTGGCCGGGAATCGAACCCGGGCCGCCGCCGCGTGGCAGGCGAGCATTCTACACTGAACCACCGATGCTTAAAAAAAAGGCCATATTTAGGTATTCATTCCATTCTGGATTAGTCCGTGTAAAAAAATTCTTCAAATGAAAAAAAGAAATAGCCAAAAATACTAATCAAAATGCAGCCGAAATTTTCCTCAGGTTTATAAAAAGCGACATGCAAAATTTGGTACCAATTGGTTCAGTAGTTTTGGAGTTTATCGCGAAACAGACAGACAGACATTGACTTTTATATATATAGAGATTGACGCGAAAATAGGTACTTTGGGCCAACCGAGCCTGGCAAGACTGCCCCGCGCATGCGCGAGCAGAAAAGGATTACCCCCGCAATTCCGGTAAACAAAAGCTGTTATCGACGCCAAAGTTTGGTTTTGACAGGCCTGAAAAAGAACTATCTCTCATAAATTTTAATATTGTTTTGAATAATATTTGTATTAAAATTAATTTGTGTAATTTTTAAATAAATATTTCTTTCAATAAGTATTAAATTATTCATCACTGTTTTCTAATTTAGGCCTCGCCATCCATCGTTGTGACTCAATTTATACTGATCACTGCAACAAGGTATTGATTTATCAATTTATAATTTTCAAGTCAGTTTCACGCATTACTGTAAAGCTAGGAGCTTTAGTTCAGGTTAAGCCATCGGGACCTTGTATTGTCTTTCTTTTTCAAATTTAAGACAAAGACAACATTTTGGCGCAGTCGACAGGATACAGATTGAAGAATTACTGATTACACAAAGGTGCAACTGTGACCAGTGATTACTTCTCAGGATGGCTGACCAACCAGTTAGTAGTGCTGAACTGAAAAAGCTTAGGACGCCAGTGCGTGCAAGGTTCACCAAGGCGTTCAATGAGCTCGAAACAGAGATCAAGATGAATGAAGTCAAGAAAGCAGATGTAGAGAAAATCCTCCGCCGACTCCAGACCCATCATGAAAAGCTTTCAATATTGAACATGAGGATGGAAGAAGCTCTGCTACGAGAATCAGCGTCTGAAGACATTTTCACTGCCAAGTACGAATCTGTTTGTGAGTACGAAGATAATTTCAGTAACATTATGACTGATTACGAGGCTCTTGCGGAAAAGGATGACATTAGTACAATCAGTGGCACAGCAGCAATGAACTATCAACTACCGAAGCTGGAGTTCAAGAAGTTTGGGGGAGAACCAAGAGAATGGATTACATTCTGGAGTCAGTTCAGCACGATTGACCGGGATCCACAGATGCCTCCAGAAACTAAGTTCAGTATCTCTTTCAAGCCACCGCCGAGAACTCCGAGGAAAGAGAAGCAGTCGAAAGTTTTCCACCGAGTGCCGACAACTACCTGAAGTCATCGAGTATATCAAATCACGTTTTGGAGAGAATGAAATGCTTGTTGAGATTTATGTACGTGACCTGCTTCAGGATGTGCTTCAGAATGTGAGAGCCGAAGGTAAGATGTCTGTAGTGAAGCTTTACGATAGACTGGAGACACAACTGCGAGCATTAGAAAATTGGGCGTCGCTCGTGACAAGTTTGCGGCTATGCTGTACCCACTCGTCGAATCGCGTACCAGAGGATACCCTTAGAGTATGGGAACGAAGTCAATATAGGTGAGCAAGAGGAGTACAGGATAAGTTGACACAACTCATGACGTTTTTGAAGACAGAAGTGAAGGGCGAGAGTCGAGTGAATATGGCCAAAGCAGCGTTCAAGATCGACAACAATCAAGATGCGAAGGATGATCGATCAAACAGGAAATCTCTAAGAATACTGGAAGTAAAATGCCGACGGCTACTGACCTCGCCAACACCACTTAGATCGCAACACACTCAGACGAAGCAACTGCATCTTTTGTGGGAATGGTCACCGAGTCAGAATGCTACAGTGGACAGCGGATGCATCTACCAGAGAAGAAAGATAAGGCTAAAGGGAAGAATGTTTGTTTTTGGTGCCTGCTTCCTGGCCACGGATTCAAGAAATGCCGGAGGATTAAGCCACATTGTCCTGTCTGCGGAGGGAAGCATTTCCCATTATGTGTCCTACTTTGGAAGCCCAGAAGTCTTCTCATCTCCAAAAAGCGGAACTAAAGGTTTCAGGGGAAAGTCCTGCAACAAAGCAAGAGACCGCCAATCAATTCACGTCAACAACTTTAAACAACGCTACCGTGGGAGGAGTCTATCTACAAACTCTGATAGTCAAGATAAGCGGACCAAAGGGGAAGCATAATGTTCGAGTGTTGCTTGACTGTGGATCCCAGCGGTCCTATATTTCAAAGAGAATGGTGGACGCACTGGGCCTAGAGTGCAGCAAGTTACACTTACCCACAATCTGTTTGGTGGCGGAGGCATGGAGAAAATTCGTCAAAAGAAGCACAATTGTGTACAAAGTAATCGTTTCCAGCTCCTCAACAATGAATACAGGATGATCTCAAATTCTTGGATCAGGAAGTAATTTGCGGACACATCAGTCAAGTACAGGATCATACTATACTCAATGAGTTAAAAACTCGAGGGATCAACTTGACTGACATTGCCAAGGTGAAGAGATATCAATCCACATGTTGATTGGTTCAGACTTGCTTAGCAGCATCTGACAGGCAGAATGCAAATATTGTAAAATGGAGTTGTGCAACAGAAACCAAGTGGGTGGACAGTAATGGGACCAGCAATAGGAAAGACATGGAAGATTCATGCCTGATCGTGACTTCATTTCACGTTAACAGTTTCGACGTTCAGGATTTATGGAAATTAGATGTGCTTGGCATCATGGATGCAGCAGAAACAAAATCTAGGAAAGATTTGATCGAAGCCTCCAACACTCATTTCAAGGAGACAGTGAAACAAGACGAAAGCGGAAGGTACATCATGTCACTACCATGGATAGCTGGACATCCACCAGTTCCGGTCAATCGCCGAACTACAGAAAATAGATTGCTGACTACAACAAGGAATGTCCAGGGCAAGATGCTGTATGAGAAGTATGATACTATTTTTGAGGAGTGGGAAAAAGAGAAATTCATCGAGAGGAAGTTGAGGATAAATGGGAGGAGTGCAGTTATCTTCCTCATCGCCCAGTGCTCAAGGATAGTCACACCACTCCTATTCGTCCAGTATTCGATGCAAGTTGCAAGAAAAAGGGGCTCCCATCATTAAATCAATGTCTGGAAAAAGGAGACCTGATTGAGCTCATTACTGATTTGCTCTTGCGGTTTAGACTTGAAAAGTATGCATCATTGCAGACATACGAAAAGCTTTTCTCCAGATTCAGGTTCGAGAAGAAGATCGTGAATTCCTTCGGTTCCTTTGGTGGAAAAAGGACCAGAAGACACTAAAATTTTACAGGCATTGCCGAGTAGTCTTTGGCCTTACCTCAAGTCCTTTTCTGCTAGCTGCAACCATTATCATTTGAGCCTGCCGCAGTTTCAAGATAATAGGTGCGCAGAACTTCTTGCCCGAAGTTTTTACGTCGACAACTGCATTTTAGTTTGTCATCTACACATGATGTCAAAAAATTTATCAAGGAATCTCCGACATCATGATGCAAGCCAAATTTGAGTTACGAGACTGGATGTGGAATGAACCTGGAATCACAGAACAAGATCCAGCCTCTATTTTGGGTATGAAATGGCACTTCAGACTGACACTATTGCCATTAATGTGCAGTCATTGAAAAATATAGATGAAGAAAAATCAATCACAAAGAGAAGTATCTTGTCAGCCTGCCATCGCATTTTTGATCCGATTCAATTTACCTGTCCAGCTACAATCAAGATTAAGAAGATGGTTCAAGATGCTTGGAAGGAGAATAAATCATGGGATGAACCGCTGAACGAAGACAGACGGGTCGAGTTCATAAAATGGAGGAAGCAAGCTTTAGAATTGGATCAGATCAAGATATACCTCGATGGATCTTACCTATCAAAGGAAGAACAACATTGCACGTGTTTTGTGACGCTTCAGCTATAGCGTACGCAACGGTGATCTTCATGCGAATAGAGAATGCGTCAGTCATAGTAGTGCGATTCGTTGAAGCAAAAATCGACTGGCAACTATTAAGAGGATCACGATTCCACGACTGGAACTATTAGCCTGTTTGATTGGAGCACGACTGTTGGTGCATGTTCTGGAAAATTTAGAAGAAAGTCCGGAGAAGATTCAATGTTGGACAGACTCCAGTCCTGCCCTATACTGGATACAACAACAAGAGAATTTGGCTCAGTTCGTTTCCAACCGTGTCAAGGAGATCACAACACTTACGAAGAGTGAAGATTGGAACCATGTCGCAGGGGAACACAATCCAGCAGATCTCCCATCCCGTGGTGAATCCCCATCGAAATTTAAAATCCGGATGGTGGGAGGGACCAAAATGGCTTCAGGAAAAGAAAGAAGACTGGCCAGTATCAAAAGTACAGTATGATCTGGAAGCCATTGAAGAAGAGAGGAGGAAGACTGTGGTGGCTGGATTTGTAGCCAAAAAGCCCGAGGAGAATCCATGGTATCTGAATCTATACGAGGGAAAACGTGAAGTGACTCTAACACAAATACTGAGAGTAATCGCGTGGATGCTACGTTTCAAGCCCTCGAATACAAACGAGATATCATCTCACAAGAGGAGCTAGACAGTGCTGAAAAGTCCCTAGTTAGGATAATACAGAGTGAATCGATCGGTGAGGAAGATCAAGATGAAGCAGCTACACGCGTTCCAAGTAAAGAAGGATTATGGAGAGTGAAAACGAGGATAGTGAATCGAAATGATGATAACTGTTCCGATTGCCAATTTTGATCCCAACGAATCATCCGGTCACAGGCTAATTGTGAAATCAGTCCACGAGAAAATGTACCACTGTGGAGTCCAGACGCTGCGATCAGTACTAAGAGAGAAGTTCTGGATTCCAAAAGCTCGACAACTAGTTCGTCATGTAATTCATAAATGTCCTCGCTGTGACGATTTGAAACCAAGCGAGTCGACGTACCAGAAGCATCGTTGCCTCAACATCGCGTATGAGATGTTGTGGTTTTTGAGGTGACAG